CTCATGATTCATTAAGCTTTCAAATTATTTGATTCGACTCAACTCATGACTCGAAGAAAAACGACTGATTCTTGAGTCGATTCATGATTCAACTCTGAGTCGTATACAACCCTGCTTCAGATGTCGCAACTTCGCAACGCCCTCACTACCAGAGGAGATGTCACAGGGAAATGAAACTTGCAGGATCTATGTAGTATCCATTATGAGTCTAACAACTTGTATATCTCGGATTTTCCCTAAAGGTCATATGAGGTCAGGTCATTTTCGTGACCTCGCCATTACCTATAACTCAATGGGGAAAAATGAAAACTGCTATTCTGGCACCGGGAACGATCTCCAACTATCTCAAGCACACAGAATAGTGATTTGATGCACTCCTTGCAAGGTTAGATGCGTCACTTTTGCAATGTTGACCTTCCGTGACGTCATTTATAACGTCATCAAGGTCATATTAGTTTTTCGTCAATAACTCCCGATCAAATTGAGCTAGCGAGTCGAGAAAGCCACCAATGGACTCAGGAAGACCTGCCGAATCGAATGATATGCGACATGACCTCTTTCGACCAACTTCGTGACCTGGGGGTGCTGACCTGACCTTGACCTGAGGTCAACACCCTAAGTTGACCTTACCCGAACAAAAAGTATATCATTCGACGCGCCTGAGCGAGGCGAACACGATGCTGCCAAAATCGCGGCTCTGCGGCCGTTTTTTGCGAAGTTATTCACCAAAAACTGAACCGTACCCTGGGGCACTTGACCTGACCTCAGAGGTCACCGGTTGAACTAGGACCTTAAAATCGGGTACCAATCTCTGCGTCTCGTAACGGCGCACACGCTCGTTTTTTCCGCGACGCGCTAGCTCCACCAGGGGCGAAACGGCGAGGGGGGGGTCGTACCCGCCCCCCCCCCCTCGGCCGGCGCGTATGTAGAAAACCAATAGGTCCGGCGAGGGTTAACACGCGCCGGGCCGGTGCTCTGAGATTCCGCGCCGGGCTGGGGGGGGGTGTCTGATCTGAACACCCCCTTCTAACTCGGCTCCTGGGCCACGTAGCGACACGCGTTAACCCTATTCCTGGCGGGCTCCGCCGGGACAAGAAACTGGCGGGGGGCCGATTCGGCCCCCCTTCAGATCTCAAAAACTACACATCGCAGCGACAAACGGTAAACGGCATCGGATACGCACGGTCAAGATCTACAATTTTTACTAAGGTCATTTTCAGGTCAGGTCAAAGATGACGTCACAGGGGTCGAAAAAGTCAAAATGGCGGCGCTAGACATGGAGAGAGTTTTTCTCGAATAACTTTCGAATTAGTCAAGATAGGAACAAACTAAGGGCATCATCGTGATCCTCTCGTCAATCCGCATCCGAATGATATATATGTTGACCTCGAAAGGTCAAGGTCAAAGGTTGACCTCAGGTCACGTGACCTCGAGGTCATCATGTATATCATTCGATGCGTCTTGACGAGCTGAACACAATGAGACCATCCACGCGTCTGTATCTTGTTCCTGTACGGAGTTATTGGCCAAAAACCTTTGGTGACCTTTGATGACGTCACATGACCTCACAGCTGCCCAACAGCAAAACAGACCTCAAGGTAGTGAAGGTTGATCGTATATGAAGTCATGTATGGTATATGGGGCCATTCCGACTCGTTTTAGTGGTAAAAACAGGGAGTTGATTTTCCCCCCATTGACTTATAATGGGGAGGTCGCGAAACTGACCTGACCTTAGGTCACCGATATCAAAATTCCGAGATATACAAATTGCACATACTGGTACCCTAACTAAAGCCTGAAGAGAAGAAATTGATCGGTCAAAAACTCTAGCTCTGGCGTGATTGCAAACTTTTCTGAGGTAGGGTCACCAAACCGCCTCTGGTGACCTGACCTGAGGTCAGATCAACTCAAAATTTTCAGACATGTTGCGTAGAAGCCTTTTAGGAAAAGTCAGAAAATTTGAGCTTCCTAGCTCAACGCGTTTGGGAGAAATAACCAAAAAACCTCAGGGGGGCTCCTGAGGCCCCCCCCGCCAGGAATAGGGTTAAGCGATAATCGAAAGAACGTTCAAAATAAGGACTAAAACACTCCGGTCAGTTTTTGGTTCAGGTCAAAGGTCAGGTCACCAGAAGTCACCAAAGGTAGAATGTTGACTATTTCAACATTTTGGAAACTGCCGACGGCTATCTCGGGAACTGATAGAGCTACAGCGCCGCAGAAAAGCGCATTCGATAGCCCTTTTACAGACCTTTCTGAGTGATGTTCTCAGATTTGACCTCAGGTCAACGGTTTAGCCTCCAGAGGGCAAAAACTTCAAAAATAGCCGTTTTTACGAAAAGTGTTTTTTCGGCAATAACTTTTGACTCAAAAGAGCCATGACATTACTTTTGCCAGCATCGTGTTCCTCTCGTCGAAGACGCGTCGAATGAACTATAATTTGACCTCAGGCCAAGGTCATGACCTGACCGGAAAAGGTCATGCTGCATATCAGTCGATCGGCAACGTCGAGCCGAACACATCTAAGGCGTTTTCAGCGCTCTAGCACGCCTCTATCAGAAGTTATAAGCGAAAAACTGTTAGATTCTGTTCGTGACCTGAGATGACCTCGGGGACATAACGAGGGGTCACAGTTGCCATTTTCCGGTTCAGTTTGTCAAGTTTACCTACATCTCGATGTTTGAGAGTGTCTAGAATAGCGTTCGTGCAAAACACTTAACAGACGCTTTTCAATTTTCTCCCATTGACTTATAATGGAGAGGAGAGGCCGCAAAATTGACCTGACCTTATGACACCGACATCAAAATTCCGAGTTAACATTTTATAGATAATGTTGCTCTTATCAATCGCTGAAAGTTTCAAGGCAATCGATCAATCGATGTAGCTATGACAAGCAATCTTATTTTTTCTGAGGTGAGGTCACTTGGCGTCACCTGGTGACCTGACCTAAGGCAACGTGGGTCTGAAATTTTCACAACATGTGCGGAAAAGATGCACGAACAGGTGTGCCGGCGGCGCTCCGCGCCGCCGTTTTTGAGATATCTGCGAAAAACCGCAGGGGGTGTTCAAACACCCCCCCCCCCGGCCCGGCGCGGGTTAAGCTGGTGGTGGTAGGTCGAAAAATATTGTTTTGCTGATTGTAATTAATAAATTGTTCTCTAAACACCAATCGACCTATTGGGTTCACAGAAAATGACGTGGGCGCAATTAGGAGACCGGGCGCAGATTGGGCACTCTCCCCTTCTCTAAAAATTTCATGACGACCCAACTCAAATGACCTTCGACCCGTTTACTGTTTTCCGAGGTCATGGCAGGCCGAAACCAAGATTCTTTCAGGTCGAAACAGCGATTCGGCGTTGTCAGCGCACATTACCCGTGTGTTTCCAGTCTTGTGGCTGGCACCACGGTTAAAGGGACCCTCCCACCTTAACATTAGTTTTGAGTTGAGATAGCCAAGTTTGCGGCCAGGCTCAGAAACCACCATTTATCCTGGTCGCAACCCCAGCAGCTTTATGGTGTTCAAGAAATTTCTTCCCTTTACTTGCAGGGTGGGACCAGCGTGGTCCCTATCTCTTAACCATTACGGAAATCTGATGACGTCATCAGGCTTTCGAACGTCCGTTAAATGTTTGACTAAAACGTTTTGCAGCACGCGGTGGTATATGCTGCTTTGCGCGCAACAAATGCCGCACTTTCAAATAAAGTCGCTAGGAACAGCGGAGATCCCAAAAAGTAAACAAAAGTAAAAGTCTAATATCTTGAAAACCGGTGAATATTTTTCGATGAAATTTGGTAGATATTCGTTTTTGCTCTTTCTGAACCGAGCGACATCACTTTCATGCCAATTCATTGACTTTTTTGAAGGTGGGAGGGTCCCTTTAAACCTAAGTAGGGGCGCTTCAACACATGAAATGATGTTTGTTCCATGTACCTACTTTTTGGTGGATGTCAAGATCAACGGCAAGCAACGGAACCAGCGTGTCTAGATCAATCGGTTTGTATAATTTGGTGACGTTTGAACTCTAAGCTGAAAACGAATACGAATACGCTAACTTGATGGACATAGGTCAAGTGAAGTTCAGGTGAATTTCGTGAGTCAGGCCCAAATATGTCAACAATTTTGTAAAACTCCTCAGTTATATTTGGGTAGAGTCTGTTGTATAGCCAATTTAATTCAACTAGCCGTAGCCACAAGGTAACATTTACCATTTAGCTATATGGTATCCAGCGTAAAATAATTTGTATGCGCTGACCATTCTCTATTGACTGCAATATCAGAAGAACAGTTTGATTTCTTACGGGTTTTTATCAAAGTTAATATGAAAATATGCAGTGACAACTGGAATTAATTTGTTTCATACAACATCTAATGAAATTCACAAATCAATGAAATATGACAGCACAATGTTGTTTACACACACTCTTGTTACCAGGCAATATCAAGGCCATCTATAGAAGGTACAGTCACTCCCCCGCCGACCAATCAGAGACAGATCCTGAGTGACGTCATCCCTGATGCTCGCAAGGGGTACTCCATTCCTTTGCAACGTAAAAATGACTAACTTCATTTGACTATTATTGATGGCACTCTGCACATACCGCTCAGCCGTTGATGTCAATGGAAAGCCCAACTAATTTTCCAGCGACAAAAAAGGGCAGCCATATGCTAAGAAATGGCCGGTTTTGAAGATATAGACGATTTAAAAACTCTCTGCAACAGCAGGAAAGCAACGTAAAAACGCATCGAGCTTATATTTTTACTATGGATAAATCATTTTTCAGTAAGTTTTTAGATATGGTATATATGTAAGTTACAACTTTATTACAATATTTTCATTACTTGAAACTTTATTTCAAAATAATATTTTCAAAAATGGCAGCTGTTGGCCAGTAGCTTGGGAGCGATTGTGGCGCGCCGCGCCATTAATTGTCCTGTGGCCCCCTTATGATGTCATCAAAAGTGGAGTGACATGGGCCGGGGCAATATGCTGGTGCTGTTCGTCATACATACTTTTGAACACAGCTATCGTCTACTTTTCATCGTTCTCGTCGCTCTCTGCATTTTTCTCGTGTAGAGGCGGCCGTCGCATTTCAATTTGTTGAAATAGTTCATTCATTTTAAATATATTTAGTATTCAGTAATAGTGATAGGAAGTAATGGACAACCGCTACATTGACTACTTTTTGATCTTGGTGTCCTGCTTTTTGCTTTTCTTTTACATCCCAATGGAATTTGGCAGCAAAAATCACGAAGGAAAGTTTCTAAGTTATATTGAAAAGTATAATAAATCCTATGAAAAAGGGAGTGATCTTTACACCAAGAAGCTGGCTGTATTTAAAGTGAGTAAGACGAATAAAGTAGCACCTATCCGTGCTTCTATCCTCAGGATACTGAATTCCATCTCCTCCACGCCACAACCACCTTCCGGGTTGGACAGGCAACTTTATCTCATGCGGGCTGCTCCCTTGGAGCGGCACCGCTGCTCCCGAGGGAGCGCACCCCGTAGCCGGGTGCAGTGAGTGCCTTGGGGCTGGGTGGCCTGTCCTCTGGATGGGTTCAGCCCCGGCGACTCACTAGGGTCATGGATTAGAGATTCCTGGATCGGCAACTCTCCGTCGGCGCCTTTGATGTAAGCGACCACGGCTGGCCACCTAGCGGCGGAGTGGTGAAGCTTGGTGAGATAGGACGGCGGAGGGTTGGGCGCTAAACCCTATGGTAAACTGCGGGCCAAGCTCAATCGAATTTAGGGATTGAACGGCTGGGTGCGGTGTGTTAAAACGAAGTTATGGTGTCGGAAACGTCCAGTAAGTCCATATTTGTCCTCAACGAAGTAATCGGAGCATTGGGGTAAGACATTTTGCCTCGGTAGAGGACATGCGTGTGCAGTCGCCAGGCTCTTATGCCGGTGTAAAATGCACGCATCGCCATCTTTTGAAAACACACTGTTCCATCTTTTCCATCCTCAGGATAGTCAAATCCTATTCCTCCACGCCTCAACCCCCTGATCCAGGCTGGACGGGCAACTTAATCCCATGCGGGCAGCCGTCTACTGGAGCACACCCGTAGCCGGATGTAGTGAGTAGTCAGTAGTGGGGGGGGGGGGGCTGGTCGACCCGTCCATTCGGACGGGCTCAGCCCCGGCGACTCACTAGAGTGCCTGCCAAGACCAATGTCCCAATGTAAGGTCAAATCGGGTGTTGACATCAGGTCAAGGTCAGATCAAAGTCACTTGGATCAGGAAGTTCGTTGAAGGAGGCTGTGTTGCATACCTTTTATTCGATTCAATAGGTCTTCCTGAGTCCAATCCATTGATGACTTTCGCGACTCGCTAAGCTAACTCGATTTGATAGGGAGTAATTGACGAAGAACTTTGATTACCTTGTTGACGTCACGCAAGGTTAAATAGATAGTGCAAAAGTTAAAACATCGTACCTCGCACGGAGCGTACAGTTACGATTTCATGCGATTCGCATGCGAGATACCTAGTCTTAGATCATTTTCGGCGCCAAAATAACAGTTTCCATAGTTCCCCGCATTGACTTAGAGGCTTATAATGGTGAGGTCCTGTAAGCGACCTGACCTCAGGTGCCCTTTAAGAAAAATCAAATATATACAAGTGAAGAGGTCTAGGGAGCAGGGCTGCGGAGTCGGAGTCGGTCGAAGTCGACAGTCCTGACCGGAGCCGGAGTCGGAGTCGATTTTGCGAACCGGGGTCTAGCCGCCGAAAATCCAGAGACTCCGCAGACCTGGCAAGGCTGCAGAGTCGGAGTCGAAGTTGAAGTCGGTCGGAGTCGACAGATCTGCCCGGAGTGGGAGTAGAAGTCGGAGTCGGAGTCATCGAAAATCCATCGACTCTGCAGCCCTGCTAAGTTTCATCTTCAAGTGAAAATCGTCTGGCACTGAGGGCGTTGCGAAGTTGCAGCATTGAACTATTTTAGGACCGTGCAGAACGGCAGAGGTTTACGTATGACGTCATAGGTCAGTGACCTGACCTGACCTGAAAATGTGGTTGATGTCACAAGGTCCGGCTTGAATCAAAGGCCTGGTGTTCCAAGTTTCAGTTCTTTATCACCAGCGCAATCCGACCAATCGCGAAAAAACCGTCAGGGTGGGGCGACGCCTGAATGACCCGCCCCCCTCCCCGTCGGCCGGAGAGGGTTAAGATGTTGAAGCTAAATGCTTCTCAACACATAAAGATCATGAAAAACAGTCCCGTTATCCTTTATGAGTTGAACTTCGAAGATAAACTGCTCAAAAACCACCCAACCAACCCGTCCCATCATTGGAACGCATAGCCGCCAAACACCGGCGTCCTATCTGGAGTTGGCGCATGCGCACTGCGATATTTGGTCGCGAATCGAGGGAGAGTTGCCAATCCAGTAAATACTTCATCCATGCTAGGGTGCCTGCCCAGACCAATGTCTCCCCCTAGATCCTATCATCCTTCCGGCTCTGCAATGGTCTTGTCGACCGAAAGGGCCTAACCCAACAAAACAAACAAACAAATAAAGTAGCATGGATGCATTTGAATCCTGCAGCTGATTTCATCAGGGCTAAGTAGTGCCAAGGCACCTTGATGGCCCACCCCCAGTCAGTTGTAATTTGCATGATTGAAAAATGAACAGGACCTGGAGGACTGTTTTTTAAGTTTGGATGATTCTAATTCCCTTTGCAATTAAGTTAATGAAATTTTGGTATCAGTAGAGCAGACATCACAAAGGTTTTCCATCCGAGGAGAGGCGCTATACCCGGAGGTGCTTCTTTCTAACAAAACTTAAACAAACCCTACCTAACTTTACCTAACCTAACCTACAACCTACAAACTTCAACCTAAAAACATTCAAACATACCCTACAGCCTACAAACCTCTAGCACGTCTCCTTGGTTGGAAAACCTTAGTGACTAGTGTGAGGTACCTGTGCTCTACTTATGCCGAAATTGTTGCTTTGATGACTGTTAATTTGTCAGTTTTAAATCAAATTAGTAAAGCTTGTCTGAGCTAGTGAATCCTTTCCCCCATTTAATTTTGATGCATTGATAAAAAATATCAATGGCTGAATATTCATAACAACCTGTAACATACCTAACTCTAGAGTAGGATGATTAGTATTTGAAATTTAAAATGAAACCTCTGGTCTCAAAAAAGCCTTGCAAGCTGGTTTAAGCTACACTGATATTAGTTGTCGAACTTTCATCCCCGTCTTGAGTTGAGATGTTAGTTGAGATAAGTGATACTAACACCTCGTCTCAAGCACCCTGAAGAATAATGGTGTAAGCTTGTATTATCAGTATTTTTCCAATTATTTTAATGCTTTGCATAAATTGTGATAGCTGTAACATTCAATTTTTAAGTGTTTGTAATTTTTATAACTCCTGATTCAATGTAAATTAACTTAGGTCTCAGCTTAGATCATTTTGTCTAGCTAACTGTCTAGTCTAGCTAATGTCTAGCTAATTAGATAGGCATGCGCGCCATTTCGATATTCTGTATTCGGAATTCAGTGAATGTTGGACATATCTAGTCCTGCGGACGAGACAGAAACAATGTTACAGAGGGAAGGCACTGCATACATGTCTATCTCCCCCCAGTCTTTGCCGGCCGGGAACAAAGACTTACATAGATTGGCATAGATTGAAGGGTGCCGTAACGAAACGACGCCGAAAGGCCAAACGACGGGTCGCATTCACGGGAGCGCGAACAAACAAATAGCCCAGGGGGCAACAAAACACAGCTTCTAGGCAACCAGAACGAGTGGACCGGCTGGAAAACGAGCCGGGACAACGATCAAACACTAAACGCGGAACATATCCGAACATCGCAAACAACTGCCGAGTTTGACAATGATAGGGAGTCAGTGGCACAGTCAGCGCGTGAAATTGGGGTCGCGATAGCGGATCGGCATTTGGCGCGGGCGATCACTGCGACGGGGACGGTCGGGTTCAGTATCTCTCAGCGGCTGCGAGCCTGGCGCGGCAGGGGGCGGCATGGCCGGCGGCGACGGCGTGGCATGACCGGGCGACAACGCATGCGGGGACACGCGATGTGGTGGTGAAGTCGACATGGACGGTGACGGCGTCACACACTGTGGGGACACAAGGGGCGGCGACGCATCTCGCTCGCGCGGGGATAACACCACAGGCGGCGATGGCGCGGGTGGACGCGGTGTCGGGGGCCTGCCACGGGGCGCCCGCGGCGGCGTCGCCGGCATCTGGCCGACCACTGGAGTCGGAGAGCCGGGGGGTTGCGCCGCAGGTGGAGAAGTGGGTGGCGTCAGTCCAGAGTTCGCGTGCGACTGTGACACGCGTGTTGGATGTCGGCGGAAGTCGTCGAGCAGTTCGTCCATTCGGGTGTGCTGACGACGAGCCGGAACAACCGGAGTGTATTTGCGCAGGAACTGCCTGTTGCGCAATGTCATTCGGCCGCTGCCGTCGACCCGGACCATGTACTGGTTATGTTGTCGCACCTCCACGACGCGGCCAGTTTTGTCCCACTTCCTGGGATATCTTCCGATTTGGTTTTGGAGGCGGACGGCATCACCGACGGTCAGTGGAGGTAGTCGCCTCGTATGTGCGGACCAGCGTTCGTGGTCCCGCATGTGGCGGTTCCGGAGTGCCTCCTCACGAGCACTCAGGGTTTCGCGCCACGTGGGATGAGGACGGTACTGACGGGGGGGTATCGGGATGAAGTCTCGCACCGGACGACCGAACACGCATTGGGCCGGCGACAGCCCTGTCGTGGGGTCGGGAGTGTTGCGGTAGTTCAGCATGGCGCGCTGGAAGCGTCGCACGTTCAGTTCCCCGTTGTCACCTGTGTTGCCTTCGATCATGCGTTTGACGGTTTTGACGCCAACCTCAGCGCGACAGTTCGCGTGTGGGAATGCCACAGAGGAGCGGCGGTGACGAACACCGTAGTCGGCCAGAAACGCCTGTGTCTCGTGGGCAGTGAACTCCGGCCCGCCATCGCTCGTCAGCTCCTCAGCGATGCCAAATGTGCTGAAGACGCGGTAGAGACAGTCTCGGAGGCCTGCGCTGCCATCTTGTGCTCTCTCAACGATTGGCCAGTTAGAATAACGATCAACGATGACGAGGTACGTACGGCCGCAGTGTGTAAAGTAGTCCGCGCATAGTTGCTGGAACGGGTACTCTGGGTAACTGATGTCCTCAGGTGGGGCCCATGGCTGCGATGGGGCGTTCCGGTTGCACGTGTGGCATCGTTCACGGGCGCGCCGAATAGCTGACGTGATGCCGGGCCAGTACACGCTTACGGCCGCGCGCGCGAGCATCATGCCGATCCCTTGGTGCGCACCGTGGAGACTCTGGAGCACCTCCTCGCGGAGGCTGGGTGGGATGACGATTCGCTGATCATACAGGATGATGCCGTCGCTGGTGTATAGGCCATCACGGAGCGAATGATACTCTCGGAGCTCCTCAGGCATCTCGTGGCGGTGGGCTGGTAGCCCTCCCTCGATCAGTTCGAGAAGTCGCATCATCGACGGATCGCCTGCCGTTGCGTCCCTCACGCGGTCCCAGGTGACAGACCGGATCGTGGTGATGGCGGCTGCCGCTACCTCGCCAGCATCGTCGACGGTGACGTCGTCGGAGAGGCTTATGCCGATGGGAGCGCCGGTTGGGTACCGGGACGCGATGTCGGGAACGCGGTTCTTGACTCCGGGGAGATAGCTGATGTCGAATCTGAACCGGAGGGTCTTTTCCTTGAGATTACGGAGACGGGCGTTGGGCAGGTCGACCAGTGATCGGTCCCCGAAAATCTTCACGAGGGGTTTGTGGTCAACAACGACCGTGAGGTCGCTGCAGCCGAGCACGAAGAAGCGCGTTTTCTCGAGGGCGTCGGCCACTGCCAGCGCCTCGCCCTCGACCGGGGCGTACCGAGATTCAGCGCCGGATGTAAAGCGGCTTCCCACCAGCGTGGTCTTCCAGCCCTCAGCGCAGCAGAGTGGTGACCGACCGGCGCATGTGCAGTATTTCTGGAGTAACCAGAAACCGATACCAGTACGGGACCAGTCGGTGGCCAGGACGGTTGGGCGATCTGTCTCGAAGATCTGGACACCCTTCGTGACCTCCTCGACGATGGTCCGTTTCGACATGTCGAACAGTGCCTGGAGTTCATCCGTCCACGTGAACTTGCCGGGCTTCAGGAGTTCCCGGAACGGCAGCATGGCATCCGCCATGGCGAATGCGTAGGCGACGTGATTGACGACCCCGAACCACGCGCGGACGTCTGTCAGGTTCCTGGGAGTGGGGAACTCGGTGATGCTCTGAAGGAAGGCATGAGACGGGCGGACTGTGTCAGGCGTGATTTCAAACCCAGCGAATTCCGCTGTCTTCTGGGCGAAGACAAACTTCTCGCTGTTCAGCGTGATGCCGGAACGGCCACACATGTCCAGCCATTCCACAGTGCGCCAGAACACCTCCTCGATGCTGTCTCCCCAGAGAAGGGTGTCGTCGATGCATTTCGTGTTACAGGTTTGCCGCCATCACGATCTCGTCATAGCGGCGCGTGTACCCGTCACCGCTGGAGATGTAGCCCTGGGGTGCCGCGCAGTAACGGTATCGGCCCCAAGGGGTCAGGAAAGTGGTGAGGTGTCGATCTTCCTCGTGTAGGGGCACCGAATGGTAGCCATTCCAGGCGTCCAGTATCGTCTTGTAGGTCGACCTCGGCACAGACCGGGCTTGGTGGAAGGGACTTGGGGTATGATGCGTCTCTCTTGCGGCGCAGCGGTTCAGGGGCTGAAGGTCGACGCAACGGCGAGGGCTTTTGATGTCTTGTCTCGCCACCAATCACAGACGGCGTCGTCAGGACTAGATATGTCCAACATAGATAGGCATGCGCGCCATTTCGATATTCTGTATTCGGAATTCAGTGAATGTTGGACATATCTAGTCCTGCGGACGAGACAGAAACAATGTTACAGAGGGAAGGCACTGCATACATGTCTACTAATGATTTGCTAGTTAGTGGAGCTATGCTTCAGGAATGGAATAAGTATCTAGAATTTGCTTGTTACCTGTTGCATACCAATATATTCCAACTTGAGGCCTGTGGTTGAAAATTGGCTTGTGATCATTGTAAACATGTAGACCGTACTTCATGCCAACTAGATGTATGATTGCAGTTCCAGCCATTCGAATGCCTATTTGTTTGTGCCAGGGCAGGCCTGCTTAAGTTGTGTCCCACTCCTAACTACAGGTCAGCAGAATCTGGTACAGTGTGGCTTTAGCAGCTTAAGCACTAGAAACACATTGGCAAATTATATATGCCATTTGTCAGAAGGAATGAAGGTGAAGGTAATTTTTTTTTTTTTTAATGTTTTTGCGATAAGTATGAGCTAAAGAAAATGATTTCTTGATAAATTCTTGACTTAAACTTATTTGCAGAAAAATAGCATAACAATTTTCTTCTGCACTGTACAGCCCATCTTATATTATCTTTCATCCCATTCCATGATATTTTAGTGATACTGTAATGTCCTGCTGTTTAATGTCATTCTGCTGTCCAAAATCGGCGCTCCGGTGATATTGTTGTGACGTCCGTCGCCTGACTGCTCCCAGGAGTCGCTGGACCGGGCCGAGCGGCTGAACGCGGCCGGCGCCGCAGACGCCGAGTACGGCGTCAGCCCGTTCTCGGACCTCACGCCGGAGGAGTTCCGCCGCAAACACCTGTCGGGCCGCTTTCTGGGCGGCTCGCGCGCCGGCCGGCGGCCGCTGCTGGCGGCCGCTGCCCGGCCGCGCCGCCCGGGCCCGCTGCGTCTGCCGGCAGGCCTGCCCGCCCGCGTGGACTGGTCAGTGACGGGTGCGGCTCCCGCGGCCTCCGCGACCATGGAAAATGGCCGGACAGAGAGACGGCGGTCGGGGGACGGATGTTTATATATCCGACATGTGTCTGTTTATTTTAACGTGCGGGAGGTCGGTGGGCCTGCGTGGGCATGTGCGGCGCATTCGTTGGATTTATCAGATTGATGAACGGATGGCCAGTTAATTCAACGGTAACAAAACGGCGTGCCATACAGCTCTCGTCACTTGCCATGTTTGAGCTTAATTTTCTATTTTAGGATTTTTGTAACGGATGCACTGTTAATCAATTTATTTGTTTATCGATTAGTTTAGTTTTGTATCACCACTATTGAACTTCCCCAGCATTTACTTTTTCCGAACTATCGTATTGCTGAGTTAAAAGCAGCTCCATCGAACGGAACTGTATGTTTGCCGTTTCCGTCACAAAGACGGAGGAAAACTTAGCTTGTTGCCATTTTTCTACACACTGCTGCATACATTTTTCCCATGTACTTATTAGAGTAGTAGGCCTACGGTATGTATCATATGTTGTAATTTGGAGGTTGTGTCGAGTCACGTTTCGAGTCCTGACGGTCTTGTTTCTATGCCCAGTCGCGAAGTTGTGTCTCAGTAGGTGACACTATTGACTGTATGATTGACCTCCATAATCTGCGGCAGGCGAGAGCGCGGTGTGGTGACCTCGGTGAGAAATCAGGCCGATTGCGGCGCCTGCTGGGCCTTCAGCACCGTGGAGGTGCTCGAGTCAATGAACGCGCTGCGCACCGGCAACCTGACCCGGCTCAGCGTCCAGCAGGCGAGTCCAGCACGGGAAAATTTCGATCCGAGCTTCCATGGCATACTCCTGTTGCTGGCATGTCAATTGGTGAATGATATTACTCGTGGCAATGACTAAACAAATTGTAAATGACACAACATATTTGTATATTTACTGTTTGCTTTTAATGCTCGGGCACTTATTTTATTTATTTCGTATCTGTTCATCTTGCCCCAATTTGCAATTAGTCCCTGAGACGGTCTCGCTGATGGCTTAGCTGACGCCGGCTCGCCTTCCCTCCTCGCCAGCTGATCGACTGTTCGACCAACAACCTGGGCTGCACGGGCGGCGACGTGTGCTGGGCGCTCGAGTGGATGGCGGAAAACGGCGTGGTGCCCGACAAACAGTACCCGCTGAAACTGAAGGACCAGGCCTGCGTGCTGAGGAGGTGAGCGTGCGTGCTGGGCGTGGGTCACTTGCTCCACACTTCTACGAATGAACTGGTAGCTCTTGGATCAATAGCTGGACTATTTTCCATGCATTTCTCGTGTGTTTGATAATGCTATGCTTGGCGGTTTGAGTTACGTTTTGGGTGTTTGGTTAATTCAGTTTAACTGGGAATAGGGCTTCAGTATGCTTTGGACACCCCTTTGACTCGTGTCAGTAGGCTGCATGTGTTACGACTGAATGTCACTACAGTCAGTGGGCCTTCAGTGCTGGTTCTTCCTTTAGTTCCTGATCCCGTTCGTTCCGACTCTGTTTTCAGCGCACCACCTGTATCTTCTCTCCGTAACATCTCCCCTCACACTTTCCCACGAGTCCCCTCAGCCCCTACCCTCCCCTGCTGACGTCGCTGTGCGTTTCGGCAGCACGGCGGGCGGTGTGCGTCTCAAGTCGTACCGGTGCGCGGCCATGGTGGGCGACGAGGAGGGCATCCTGCGCCTGCTCGCCATACAGGGACCGGTGGCCGTCGGAGCCGACGCTACCAGCTGGCAGGACTACGTCGGTAGGTACCGGGTGGGATGCCACCAGGACTACGTTGGTAGGTACCGGGTGGGACGCCACCGGGACTACGTTGGTAGGTACCGGGTGGGACGCCACCGGGACTACGTCGGTAGGTACCGGGTTGGACGCCACCGGGACTACGTTGGCAGGTACCGGGTGGGACGCCACCGGGACTACGTCGGTAGGTACCGGGTGGGACGCCACCGGGACTACGTTGGTAGGTACCGGGTGGGACGCCACCGGGACTACGTTGGTAGGTACCGGGTTGGACGCCACCGGGACTACGTCGGTAGGTACCGGGTGGGACGCCACCGGGACTACGTTGGTAGGTACCGGGTGGGACGCCACCGGGACTACGTTGGTAGGTACCGGGTTGGATGCCACCGGGACTACGTCGGTAGGTACCGGGTGGGACGCCACCGGGACTACGTCGGTAGGTACCGGGTGGGACGCCACCGGGACTACGTCGGTAGGTACCGGGTGGGACGCCACCGGGACTACGTTGGTAGGTACCGGGTGGGACGCCACCGGGACTACGTTGGTAGGTACCGGGTTGGACGCCACCGGGACTACGTCGGTAGGTACCGGGTGGGACGCCACCGGGACTACGTCGGTAGGTACCGGGTGGGGTGCCACTTCTTAGCTGAGCGACTACTTCAGTTTTGGCTGAAGAGGTTGTCAAGTATCTGGAAAATTGTGCCCGAAGGTGGCATTTTTTATCTCTACTTTAGCATCAAGTAGAATATGTTGTATTTCTTTCGTACTCTCGCTGCTATCAGATGGCATGCACTTAGGCATTTGCCAGTCTGTGTCACTCCGTCTATATCCGTTCAGGTGGAATTATCCGGTTCAACTGCGAGCGCGAGCTGAACCACGCCGTGCAGATTGTCGGCTACGACATGACGGGCGCGGTGCCGTACTACATCGTCCGCAACTCGTGGGGCACAGAGTTCGGCCTGGACGGCTATCTGCACGTGGCTGTCGGCAGCGACCTCTGCGGTAAGTGCCGGGCTGACGACACCTCAGTGCCAGTGGTCGCTGTCTGTCGGCACGCACTGGACTAAGGTGGTGGGACAAAGGCATAAGCGTCTCGTGTGAAATGCTAGATAGAAAGGGGCTTCATCATTTTTTTTATATAAAATCTTTTAACGATTTTATTATAAGCTTTCTATGTCTCCTAAGGACAATTTAAAGGGATTCAAGTAGTCGTCTGTTTCACTATTCTTAGTCAAATGCTTCTCTGCGGCATCGTTGCTGCTCCCAGTGGCCGCCATCGTTAGGGCCACGGTATCGGGCCACCCTCTCCCCCCTGACCTACCCAGAGGGACACGGCCAGTGACCGGCCCGTGCCGCGCCCAGGTCTGTCGGAGGAGGTGGGCTCGATCCTGGTCTGAGGCCCGCGCCGTCAGACAGACTGTCTCAGCCCTCGCCGCGCCGGGCGGATGAAGCCGACGCTGTACTGCAGGGCTACCGGCGCGGTGCAGCTCCTGCCACAGCGCAGTAGCGTCAGACGAAGAGGAAGCAGCAGCCTAGGGTGATATGTAGTCTTCCAGTTGCTGTGGCGGAGCGGTATTTTATCGGGAGGAGGGCGACATTACTTGCTGCAGTTGCAATACTTATCATCACAGCTGATATTGTGCCAATTATAGGGCAGAGTACCTAGCCTCAATCTTACAGAACTAAATAGGGTGTTTATTATGGTTGTGTAATGTGTATGCATTCCCTCTGTTAAAACTTTCAATGGCATTGTTTTTCGCTAGCAGTTATTTTAGGGACAAATACTGAGGTCTTTGGGCTTTCATGGTATTCCCAGTTGAGAACTGTACTCAGTGCTGTCACATTTTCTGTGTACTTATACTTATCACAACTCATCAGCAATAACAGGTACCTAATACTGAATATGACAGGGTCTGGGCATGTACACCTAGCGTGCAATTGAGCTACCTAGCCATTCAGAACATAGTGGTGCATAATGTAAGCCATTTGCAACTATTGTATGTTTGTAATGTGTTGAGTGGGGCATGATCAGTCTTCACTTCATCTGCGGTAATCCTTTTTGTATACACAGTCGTAGCTACCTGGTATCTGCAGCAATACTTAATCATGGGTACTGTGTCAATTATCGTCATTATGGAAGCAGTGCGATAGACGTGCAATCCTTACCGTTAACTAAGCAGTGTGTTTTGTGGCAGGGTACAAAAGCGTACACCGATTTTCACATCTACTCACCACAACTTCCTTAAGAATTGTGAAGCCATATGCTCGTAATACTTCATGTATGTAGGTACTCTTATATGAAAGAAGCAATGATATGCTATACTTCAATTATGTCACCGATTCATTCGTTACGGGAGTTTACAGTTGTATGGCACTTAAACGGTTTGAATAACTACCGAGTTATTGAGAATGTGATCAGGTAAAGCGCTTGGCCAGAAAACGGTATGATTTGGTTGTTTTGTGTTTGGCATACAATGCACATTAGAAGGTGCGTTTCGTATTTGGCGGCATGGATTTGGAACATCATTGTTTTTTAGGGTGCGCTGTTTAGCAGGAAGTCTTTTGTTACGGATAATTTCTCACTTCTCAGCTATGTCCGGTGACTTAGTTGCGCTTTCCTTCACGGTGGATGATTGACAATGTAGTGCCTTTGTCATGAAAATCAAATGCTCATTTCCTCTTCTAAAACCGCCAGCCAGGACACGAAACATCGATTTATTGAACGCATGTACTTTCATCGACATTGTATCATTTCGCTGCTGTTTAGGGTGTCGTGTTTATCGCGTTCCATACCGTGTAGTTTGTCGCTCTTGTCACCTAGCTGTCTCTCTGTGCCTGCCCGGCTATCGTATGCGGCCCGTCAATAGTTGAGGCTGTGAACGCTATTTGGGACCAATGCGAGCTTGCGATATAACACTACCGTAACTAGGGAGGAATCTTTATTAATAACATCGGTAGTCAAAGGACGCGAGTCCACCGGCATGGCGATCGTATCGGGGGTGATTGACATGCCGTATAATTAAGGCAAAACCCATTATGTTTGGGTGACCTCTGACCCTTAGGTCAGAGGTCACCCAAATGGCCTCTGACCCAACATAGTGGTTTTTGCCTTTGCACGGCAATTTGCTTGTCGAGTTCTTTTCGCGAGTGGTGCGTTCTGGGGCTGTATGTTGTATTTCATATGAACTCGTGGGCGGGCCATGACTGGTAGCTGTCAAATGTAATGCGATGTTAGGACTTAGGTGACATTCACATAGTCATAGGGTTGAGGACGGTCTTCCTTTTTATACTGGTATGTTACGCGTTCCTAATTTTGGTGGGATACGTCGTGTGTTGTCTTCTATCGGGAACGGGGTTTACCAATAAACCTCTCTTTTGTCAGCATCTTTGTGATGCTCGTGCCTTTCCATAACCTTGTCTCATACGTATCATGTATCGCAATACATATCAGCAATCCCTTCGCCATGCTCTTTGTGCGTGCTTAGCCGAGTTGATTGGATGTGCTCAGAATTATTTCGTGGTACGTCCGGCTTGGTATCACCGTTCAGTGCTACTCCTTGCATTTGCGATTTTTACAGGGATAGAATAAAGTACAAACTGAGCCATACTTACATATACATTGTATATCATTATCAGGACGGCTAGGCTGAGGTTACCGACTTGGCTCCTCTCCCGATCAGTGATGATATGATAGCAACATTTGAAAGTTGGTGGCCCCAAGGTTTGTTTACGTCTTGGTGGCCCCAGCCGGGACTGAAGTTTAGAGAAAACCGCCAAAAGTGGAGGGGTCACCACGATTTTCGGGGGGAGGGGTCATTCCCAATTCCATGCACTGCCATATATTTAATTTTTGAAATGGGATATGTTTCGGAGATGGGCGGGACGGGCGGGACTTCTCTTGTGGGCCTCAGCGAAATTTTTTGGTCTCGGGCGCCGTTTTTACGGATATGGCACTGGCAGCGACTCAGATGTTTCCATATTACAAATTTGTCTACGTTTATGGCGCAGAAGTTTCGAAAGTGGAGGCAGAGTTTTTGGCTTTCCACAAAAAAAACGACATTGTGCTTTGCCTTTTGATTGTCCCCTTGATTGAGTATTTACTTTTTAGGGCCTTGATTTATTGGATAATATTTCAATTTTTACTTTGAAGGTTGGCGATTACTAGCGGAATTTATGGCTCTAGCGTCCTAGCACTGGAAAGGTGATATTTTCCTCCCACCTTTGACAGAAAAGGTGAGTTATTGGTCTAACAGTCGGGGAAACTACGAGGCGAAGATCCAAAAATGGATCAGTCAGTAAATAGACCTTTGATGACCATATATGGACATAATTGCAGCTGTCGCTACTAGGGGTGGAAACGGTATAACAAGCCGCCAGCCGGTACCTACTTGCGGTATCACATCCACTTATCCCAGAGAAAAAGCTTCCATTTTCCACTAGGCATAGGCGCGGGAGCCGGGGGGGCAGTGGGGGCAGCTTGCCCCCCAACTCTGGGGCCGTGGGGGCGGTGCCCCCACAGCTTTGAGACGGAATACTACACTTTTTTTTGCAAATGTTTTCTTTTTTTGTTGAAAAAGCCGAGGGGTGAAAAATAAGTGGCCTAAAACCGATGAGAAAACTAGATTTGGGGGTACCCTAGGTTAATCTCTATTATGGTGTGCCCCCCCAGTCGGAAAGTAGTTCCCGCGCCCCTGCCACTAGGAATCAACACGATTTGATCAAATTCAGCGAATTCATTCAATAATGGTGATAGAAAAATGGCTTTTCTGCAGGTTCCGAGCATCACAATCAGCTGGCCATTCCATAAATTGATCGGTATTTTGAAAGAAAATTGCTAAAAAGAAATAAAGATATTTAAATTTAAAAAATTATTTAACCACAATTGGAAAAACCATACCTATACAAAATAATAGAAATAATGACATTTTAAAACAATGGTGCTGCTTACATTTTTTGGCGCGTCTGTTTCAATCCGCCATATTTGCCGATCACTGTTTGACCTTGTATGGTAACTGCGATTTAGAGCCACCAGTGCTTCGTTAACTGAGTGGGTGTAGGCCTTGTGTGGTTAAAAAACATTCTTATGCCTTATTTTTTCTTTTCAATGCTAGGATGCACGGAAAAGATGAAGTTTCCTGATTTTATGACTGTATATGGTCATCTCCCCGCCCACTCCAGCTATTGATTGGCTGATCCGATTTTAGTTCGGCGCCTGGTAGTTTCCCCAACTGATAGTGGCGGAAGAGACTAGGGTTAAAGAAGGCCTCCAGACGAACGACGGTGAAAACAGGGCGCCTGGGGCGATTTGATCAAGGCTCTTGAAATTCAATCGCATAAACCACGTGACACTCAGCATGTAGCAGTAGAAGGCAATGAGAGGGGGAGAAACTCATAATAGCCACGTGACTCAATATGCCCTCCGGTGCCCTGTTTTCACCGGCGTCCCACCGGCGTGGAATAATGCCTTATGTAGGAAATCGGCTTAGATTATAAGCATGCTGTAATTGGTGCCTGTTTGAAAGTAAGTCAATTGTAAACCATGTCACACAATCATTAGTAAGTCCTTGAATTAGTTAGTCGACTTTGTCATGTGCATGCAAATTTCTGAAATGTTCGGAAATAGTTTATTTCTCATTGATTATCAATTTCTGTCCTTCACTTTTCAGCTGAAAATGGCCGGACAGCCGCCGCCGTCGGGAAATTTCCCGCTTCCATCGGGGATTCCTCTGCCGCCATTCTCCATGCCGCCGCCGGGCATGCCCCCACGGGGGTTCCCTCCGTTCATGCGGCCGCCGCCTGTGCTGCCCGCGGGAGGTGTCGCGGCGACCGCGTCCCCCGGCGGAGCTGCCACCCCGCCCGCCGCACCTCCCCCGACCGGCGCTTCCGGACCGGCGCTACCGGCCAAGGCGGACGCGCCCAAGACGTCTTGGACTGAACACCGGGCGCCCGACGGTCGCACCTACTACTACAACTCTGTCACCAAGCAGAGCGCCTGGGAAAAGCCGGAGGAGATGAAGACGCCGACCGAGCTGCTGCTGGCCAAGTGTCCCTGGCGGGAGTACACATCGGACAGCGGGAAGCCCTACTACAGTAACGTGGTCACCAAGGAGTCGCGCTGGACAATCCCTCCGGAGCTGGAGGAGCTGAAGGCGCGCATCGCCGCTCAGGAGGCGGCGGCCTCGAGTGCGTCTGACGCTGCTGCTCCTGCTGGCGGCGGTGGCGACACCAAGAAGTCGGCTCTGGAGGCGGCGATGGCGGCCACGCTGGCAGCCATGGACATCCCGACCCCTCCAGCAGCTGCGGCTGAGACCAGCGAGTCGCCCGCAGAGGCCGCCTCGCGAAGCACAAGCGGCACTCCTGAGCCGCGCCGCGTGTTCAAAGACAAGCGGGAGGCGATCGAAGCGTTCAAGGATCTTTTGCGGGAGAAGGGTGTACCCAGCACAGCCTCCTGGGACCAGGCGCTGAAGCTTATTCAGGGTGATAGCCGATACGAGACCCTGCAGCGACTGAACGAGAAGAAGCAGGCGTTCAACGCGTACAAGACACAGCGCGGCAAGGAGGAGAAGGAGGAGCAGCGGCTGCGCGCCAAGAAGGCCAAGGAGGACCTGGAGGAGTTCCTCCTCAGCGGCGACCGTATCACCTCCATGACCAAGTACTACAAGTGCGAGGAGATGTTCGTCGACATGGACATCTGGAAAAACGTGCCGGACCACGAGCGGAGGGACATCTACGAGGATGTCGTCTTCACGCTGGCCAAGCGTGAGAAGGAAGAAATGAAACAGATGCGTAAGCGGAACATGAAGGTGCTGTCGGAGATCCTCGACTCGATGGCGGACATCACACACCTGACGACGTGGCAGGAGGCGCAGCAGATGCTGCTGGACAACCCGCGTTTCGCCGAGGACACGGACCTGCTGGGCATGGACAAGGAGGACGCGCTGATTGTGTACGAGGACCACGTGCGCCAGCTGGAGGCCGACGAGCAGGAGGAAAAGGAGGCCGAGAAACGGCGCAAGTCGCGCCTGGAGCGCAAGAATCGTGACGCGTTCGCCGCCCTGCTGGACGAGCTGCACGACCAGGGCAAGCTGACGTCCATGTCGCTGTGGGTGGAGCTGTACCCGGTCATCAGCTCCGACGTGCGGTTCTCCGCCATGCTGGGACAGTCGGGATCCACGCCACTCGACCTCTTCAAGTTCTATGTGGAGGATCTCAAATCGCGCTTCCACGATGAAAAGAAGATCATTAAAGAGATTCTGAAAGAAAAGGACTTCGAAGTTCAGGTAAGTTTGTAATTATTCAATTAGTTTTTTATGTTATATGAACACAAACACAGGCAGTCAAGATGGTAACTGGATTTCTCTTTGCATTGAGAAGGTTTGAAATTGAGAATTAGTGACTCAACATTATGTAGTGCTTACAATTTTGCTGCCATTATTTATATGCCTAATTCATCAGTATTATGACGCTTGTTTTATCTTACTGCTCAACCTAAGCTCACCGTTATTGTTAACCAGGGTCTTTCCATAGAAAGCATTTTTGCAAGAAATATTAACATCCACGTGTCCGTCAGGTGACGACCACATTCGAGGAGTTCGCCACGGTGGTCTGCGAGGACAAGCGATCGGGAACGCTGGACGCAGGCAACGTCAAACTCACATACAACTCGCTGCTCGAGAAGGCGGAGGCTCGCGAGCGGGAGAAAATCAAAGAAGAGAACCGTAAACTGAAGCGGCTTGAGTCGGCGTTCAAGGGCATGTTGCGCTCCCTGGAGGTGGAGCACGGCGCGGTATGGGACGAGGTGCGCCCCAAACTGGAGAACGAGCCCGCGTTCAACGCTGTCGAGCTTGAGTCCGAGCGCGTCCGCATCTTCAAAGATTACCAACAGACACTCGAGGATGCCTGCGGTCACCACCACTCAAAGTCCAAGAAGAAGAAGAACAAGAAGAAGCGCTCGCGGTCGCGCTCGCGCTCTCGGTCCGACTCGGAGGACGAGCGCCGCTCGCGGCGAAGGCGTCGGCGTCGCTCGCGCTCGGCGTCTCGCTCGCGCAGCGGCAGCTCGAGCGACGGCGGCCGGCGGCACGCCAAGAAGAAGTCGAGGCGGCGGCGGCGCAGCCGGTCGAGCAGCGAGAGTGGCGCGTCCGAGTCGGACGGCGGGCGCGGCGACCGGCGGCGGGACCGGCGCAGCCGCGACGGACCCGAGGAGGGCGAGCTGAGCGAGGACGAGCTGGAGAAGAAGCGGATGGACCTGCTGGAGCAGCTGCGGGAGGAGTGAGCGGTGAGTCGCACACCCGGCCGGTCTATGGGAAACCCAACGTATAATTAGCATGATGACCTAAACAGCTTATAGTGTGTGCATTGTACGATGGTAGTGAAATAGCTGTGATTAGTTAATTTGGGATAACCACAGGTTGTTTGAAAATTGACAAACTCTATTCGTTAGGATTGTGTTTTTCAATTGAAAAACAACCGGAGCAGTTTATACAGTGTAAGGGAGTATTAAATGTTGTGTTTGGAATTCAGCTTTATTGTGTGCTCAAACTGCTAATTTATATTCGCTGATAGCTTAATGCTACCAGAGATGACTGCTAAATCAGACACTTGGCTGTCAAGTAGCGATAATGACTAGCGGTTACTTATCTGAGGCACTGTTCTGTTCTTTTTCAGGCACCGATATAATTTCATTGTACAAACGTCGGGCTCCAGACATCAGAATCACGCCGGCTGTGTGATTCATCTCAGAATTACCCAGCACGTGAGTTATATGGAAATTAATTTTCCATCACCTATAGCTGGCCATTTTTCGTCATATGTATCATATTCGGTTGTGTAATAAACTCCACTTCAACGCCTTGTTTGCGAGCGGTGGTTGTCGAATATCGAGCACTCATTCTTCCTATACCTACTTCTTATAGGTACTGTTGAAAAGAAGTGTCCAGAAGTAGTTGATGATACGATTGCTTTGATTCCGGTCCATTTTCAGGTAAACACGCCTTTTTACATTTCAGCTGCAATCAACTCGAAAGTCTGCTGATCTCAGAACTACTTACCGATTGCTTACCGGTTTCCAACGATGTACAAAATTGTTGCGGTTTACTGAAAGACTCGCTTCGTGTTTTACGTACGGCTCCCGTGTACAAATGTGTATGTAGTGCGCAGATGTGTAGTACTCCCATGCACTCTTCCATCTGCGTGCTAAGTGCTTCTTTCGTCAAAGATAACTCAATTTCATTTCCCGTAATGTATTGCAATCGTCTTCTAAGCGATGCGAACAACAACTTGTATCTGCGCTTTCTACATCTATCCGCTAAACGGAGATCATCTGTCTGTATGAGCTGACGAAGCTCGGTCAGCGCTGCCCAGCACATGTAAGTAAAACATGGTATTTGCAGAGGGCTTACACGACAACTGGAAACTCGCCTATCGTGCGGGGAATGGCAAACGGCACGCCGCAGCGCGGCAGCTGCTGCAGTCGTGGCAGCACATCCAGGAACTCGATCCAGTGTGGCAGCGAGAAACTCGCACGGCTGTGAGACTCCATCACACAGAAACGCTGCACGTGTATCAGAAAGTCCTCCATCTCCTGCTCCCTGTTGGTCTGACTATGAGAGTCGCCACTGCTCTCTTGGTTGTTGTTGCTGGTGAGAATGTCCGTGGTGTTCATGCTGTCGGCGGTTCCGATGACGATATTGACGAAGGCCTGCCAGGCTGTCAGCAGCTGCTGTCCGCTGACCGAGTAGCAGCGGGCGGTGCTGGCCGTGATGAGGTCGGCGGCGGACGCCAGCCGCGCCGGGTCGCCCGCGCGCCGCGGCGCCAGCGGCCGCAGCGCCGGTACCAGCGCGCCGACCATCGCCGCAGCCAGCTCGGCCACCGGCGGCGGCGACCGCGGCTCGGCGCCGCAGCAGGGCAGCACGAGCTGCAGTCCGGCCTGGCGGAGCCGCTGGCCGCCGAGCCGACGAGCCGCTCCCTCCCCGAGCAGACGGACGAGACGGCGCCGCGCCAGGGGCTCGGCGGCGTCCACGGCGGCGCACTGCGGCCCGTACTGGAGGCAGCGCAGGTCGGACGGTAGTGCTGCGCTGTCCGGCGCCGGCGTCGGCGGGCCGGCCGCGACCGCTGCCGCCAGCGTCCACAGCACGCAGACCACCGCGCGGCGGCCCATGGCGATCACCACTGACACATCACTGACTGGCCACTGACACGGCTCGCTGTCGGCTGTGTGGCCGTTTGACGTCACCGGCCGACCTGTGACGTGACGTGTGACAGACGGAGCCCCCACCCGGACGAGGGGCCGTCCCGTACCCGGCATCGAGTTGAGCCGCATCGCCCACTACTGTTGGCTGTCATGACTAGCTTCCTTTGATGATTGTTCTCATCCATCTTACCTTACCTTACCTTACCTTACGGGTTGCGGGAGGCCAAAATGGCCTTGGCAAGATTGATGAAAGGAGCTTGCATTTCATAGGCGGCGGAACGGGGAGGGCACGGGGGCACCGTGCTTTCCTTTGATTTTGGCATTTTAACATTAGCCCTATGGGCTTTGCATGGAAAGAATGGGACCAAAGGTTGGCGGTGCCCCTTGAAGGTGTTCCGCCGCTACTGTTGCATTTTGATGTTCAGTTTGTGAGTTCTGATAACTGCTGTTACTACCACGGATTCCTAGATACCTACGTGCTTGCCTACGTGTGACGACGGTGGAGGCGCTTATATAAATTATGTATAGTGTATACCTAGGTGAAGGAGCTTCGAAGTGATTGCAGCGCTTTTTCCACATTTTACTGCAGTTATTTAGTGGGCTGAAATAACTTGAAAATAACCCCAACCTTGAACGTACGTTACGTTTATTTTTCTACGGTTTGTTGTATGCTTGGTTTATGTTGTATTGGTTTGGTTGTGTATGTTGTATGGATCACTGAGAATATTCGAACTTTCGTTTATGTGAGGGACTTGGTCGCACAGTTGGAAAAATGCAAGAAAATGCACATTTTTATCACTCTGACCCTGGTGGCTACCGATACCGTGAAACCTGGGTGAAACAGCCAGTGCAGCGTTGAAATATGGAAGGTTTCAATTCATTTTCTATGCCAATGGTCCTAAAATCAAATTGAATTTTTTCGTCCACTTAAGTTTCATTTGTTTGCTATGAAGTTTTGTCAGAATGGGTCATTTTACTGCGTTTTAATGTTCTCGTGGATAAGCAGCTTTCAAGGTACCAGCCCGGGTCTGCAGTTTCCTTGAACTGGGTTACTTTTGTCGTGCATTACGTGCCATTTTTTGCGTGGTATTTTCACCGAGGAATTTCTCACCAAAACCATAACTGGCCTTACTTAAGTTGTACACATACTATAGAGAACTGTTTATGCCTGTTGGACTGGATCTTTACTCTAAATACTAGCTCTTTCACAGTTCAAGGCCAAAGGGTACTGGTTGTCATAAACAGAGAAGCGGACGGCTTCCCAGTGGATGCTCAGTTGTGATTTAAAGGTGTTGAAAGCAGTTTAGACTTTGGGCATTGTGAAACACGAGGCATTATGTGGTACCTATCTCACAAAACAGGCATGTGAAACTCCAGGAATCCTGTCCCGTAGGATCCTGTGAAAGGCACATTGGCATAAAGCGAGTTGTCACCCATTCCAATTCATCAATTCTTGAGAAATATGCTTCATGGCCTCCTATAAAAACACCAAATGATGAGTGTATGAAATAACTGTTGCTTATTCTTACCAAATTAATTATCAAAATATGCCATATAGAGAACTTCCAACTAGTGCTGCAGTAGGTTACCTAATACCTACCTTCATCCATTCTTGCTGAATTCTTAAAAAGTGATCCTACCTACACTGGTACACTCCTACGTGTTAGTGTCATGATGATGTGTCCTTTTTACAGGTGTTCTGTGCAACTAAGTCATGACTGAGGTTCATATCACTGGAAATGCAATCATGGAGGTGTGTCTGGTCTGTAAACATGGATTGGTCAATGCCAAAGACATTCATGAATCTCGCACATCATTTTCGAAGACTCTGCTTGCTGTAAAGCTTGGTGAGTAGGTATCCTAATTGGCATACTTCTACTACAGTATTTTTGTTAATGAAATGAAAAATGCATGAATGGCCATTCTTATATGAAAGAATATGATTGCCTTTTGATAAGATAGGTAGGTACCTGATGCTTCTTGTGGATATAGTGTAGGGTTCATAACAAAATGTGCAGATATTTTTGTCTGAGAAAACAGCAGGTTACATTGGCAAAAGTCCTTTCTATAAACTTATAAAGTCATTGTTCATGGGATGACCTTCAGCTGAATTCTGTAGATAGGTATATGATAGTGTATGAAGATGGAAAGCTTTTTTCTGGTTTCAAGGGTCCATTCATGACATTTAACATTATTTTTCACATCCTCATGTCATCTTATGTAAGCCCTTTTGAGGGTGCTGAGGGATGAGCTCTTCGGCACAGTCTGGTTGAAGTGATGTTAGAACACGATAAGGTGCTTCACCAATTCTACTGACTGATATAGTCAAAGGGCTTAAACAAGGCATAGGACTTAAATGAAAGTTCTCTACAGCAGGAAATCAAGCTCAAAGCACACTTTTCCCATTTTCAGGCAAAATAATCCAGTCACCATTCCGCAAAGAGGAAGATCATGTGTACCGAATCTGCAATGCCTGCACGGAGCTGGTGAACGAGATAGATCAGTGCGAGATAAAACTTATGGCACTGGAAAATGAGGTAAGGGATCAGCTGAAAATGGCGAGGTTGTACGGGTCCACGGTGCATATTCTGAATAATATGCATTAGATTATATGGATGATGTTCGGTTCTTTACATGTTCGACGAAACTGTACTGGCCTGCTGATATCCGGCTGTAATAATGTAGGTAACGCGATGCGATGATGCTCCCTTGTGCTACCCTGCCCCTGCAAATGCTCTCGTTCACGCCCGTGCCCCGCTCCGCCGCCGGCCAGGTGAAGCTCAAGTACAAGATGCCGTTCCCGATCGAGGTGCACAGTCGGTCCAGCCAGCAACAGGACGCCGTGGCGGAGGAGGCGGCCGCCGTCGGCACGGTCCCGGAGCCGGCCGACGAGCCGGCGGCCGGGTCTGGGCCGAGCGCGGCCGGCGCCGCGCCCCACCAGGAGGTGACCGTCACCGGCGGCCAGCTGCAGCCCGCTCAGATCTGCCAGGTGCTCGACGCCGCCGGCGTGGACACCGGCGAGACGTACAGCATCGAAGTCGGTACGGGACACGCGCCCCAGCGCACACTGCCGCGGGCCGCCAGTTCTGTGTGGCGTCATCGGTCTCTCATTTGCTTATTTTCAATGATTTGCCTGGTGTCTTAACTTACAGTGGTGTCATTTTCTTAAGGTAATAATGATAATATTATATTTTGTGAAGTTGTTTATGATAGTTGGTTTTGTTTCTGTTGTCGTTTACGGACTTACCGCCGTCCGTGTCTTGCGGTCCGCCCAATGCGGTTTATACGGACAAGTAATCAATGTTCCGCCTCTCTCCCCCGTTCACATTCCACTAACTCGTACATTGTCTGTGACCTGTGCAGTGGACTCGACGGAATCGCTGTCGAAGGGAGATCACGTGGCCTTCAGCGATTCGCTGGGCGAGAGCATTATTCTCTACGAGCAGGAGGACGGCTACACGGAGCAGCAGCTGGTGGAGCTGGACCACGTGCCCTACAGCGTCCAGCTCAGCGACGACATCGAGGTCAGTCAGACTCGCCCCACCTGCTGCAGATCAGCAGCGGCGGGCGGGCTGTCCGTCGGACGTGGCTAGATTCTACCATGGAAGAGGAGGGAAAATGACAGATGTGGACTATATGATATGAGTTATGGTGTAGACTATTGCAATGAATTTATCTAAAGCTGTCCATTATAACAATGTTCTCCTGGACTTAAATCTTGTTTTTTTAAGAAATTGTGTCATCAACATAAACTCCTGCTTCCTCACTCTGATAGCAATGTCAAAGCGAGGATTTCCTTCAATCTATCTCAATACCTTGATGCCGTTGAGTAGTTTCTATTATGTGCTGTGCCATTGGTTGATGAATTATGATACCTTTATACAGATAGTTGAGGATGTCTCTGTTTTCTGTGCCGCTGGAACCCTTGGCTATAGAGGAAAACCTGTAAATAAACCGATGTTTTTTATTGATGTGAGACGTCTAACCTGTTTAAAATGATCGAAGAAGAGCCCATAAAGTAAAAATTGTTACTAACGAATCCGTATGCAAAAGTTGAGCAGCATAATGACGTTGCGCTCATCCGGAAAAGATGAACTTTTTTTTCAATTGCCTCCGATTTTGATGGAGTCTCACCTGTGGTAAATTCCCAAACAGCGGCACTGAGTTCATCGAGATTTGTAGAACGCTACCACTCTGACTGGGTCCTCCCGTTTGTCGCGCGCAGACTTCTGACATGACCACCATCATCGAACGGAAGCCGCGCCGGCGTCTGAAGCGGCGCCGCTGGGGCAACGAGAGCGGCTACTTCTGTGACGTGTGTGACGCCACGTTCAGCTCCTTCCCCGAGCTGCAGGGTGAGCAACTGCGCATCCTCGCGGCTACCGTGCAATGTGCAAACTTTGTCCTGGTAGCACTGCTACTTATCATGGTAGGTAGTTAGTGTTAATGTCGTCTCTTTCCACGTGTTCTGTTTCTATGTTCTCTGCCTAAGACCAGCCCCTCGCCTTTTCAGTTCACCGTCAGACACACGCCTCGGCTGAGACTTTCAACTGCCGCTACTGCAAACACATCGCCCGGACCAAGATCAAGCTGCATCGGCACATGCAGGAGAATCACAAGGACCGCATGATACCGTGCCCTTACTGTGAGAAACGCTTCCCCGAAAAGTGTAATCTCACGCGGCACATAGCTATCCATCAGGACCCGAAGTTCATCTGCGAGGTAAGCTAGATCGGAGCCGAACATAATTGTGATTTTATCGATGTATTGTGAGGGTGTGTGGTTGCCGCTGACATGCCACATTTCGGCGCAGTCTGTCAGTTTTATAATGCGGAATGATTCAATAACAACCAAGTGTCAATTCGGGTTCGTTCGGCCCCGACCCTCACTTCAGCCCAACTTGATTATTTTTTTTTTTCACATAGCAACTTTGGGCCTGGATAAAAAGGGATTTCAGACACATGGGATGATGGGATGGGCGGAGACACTGGACACGGACCGCCCCGCCGTAGTGAGCGCACCGTGCCGGTCGCAGTCAGACGGTAGTGTCCCGTTGGGACGGCTTTCCCTTTCACTCAAACGGTCGCTCCGGGGAGGTGTACTCCAAACAAGGACTTGCCCTGGCCACAGGTCTTCTGGTGGCGCTGGCCGTTAGACCCCAGACCGTGGCAACTGGCGGAGGGAGGAAGGTTGTAGATGGGTTGGTCCAGAGGAAAGCTAGAACGAATTCGAGTTTTTTTTTTTTTTTTTTTGTCTGGAGAGACGCTTTTTTGTGTTATGAGACCGTTGAGAGCCCAAGGGATGATAGGAATTGCAGGAGACATTGCTCTGGGCACCCTGGTGCGCCACCGAGGCTGAGCCCGTCGCGACGGACCGGCAGCCACCCCATCGAGCGTGAACATGCTAAGTACTGAAACGTGTGTGAACGTGATCATCCAGCCCGTAACAGGAAATTTGAGACGTGAAGGAGAAATATTTGTGCGTCCTGGGGGAAGAGCTGAGAAACCGGCGGACGAATTCTACCCTGATGCCTTTCAAAATCTGTCCATCGCTGCCTGTATCGCTCCTATGGTGTCAGAAAGCAAATTGGTCTGACTGTTTTTTCCCTTTCTAGATCTGCTCGCGGCCATTCCACTCCAAGGGAGACTTGGGCAAGCACATGGTGTTCCGACACACCACCGAGAAGAACTTCCCGTGCCCGGACTGCGACTCCAGCTTCAAGACCAGCTGGATGATGAAGCGCCACCTGTCGCGGGTGCACGCCAGGCTCTGAGCAGCGCCGGCTGGCGGCCGTCACCCCAGCGGCGGGCCCACTACAGCTACTGGAGGGCACGGGACCGTACCGGGCGACTGTTGACACGTGGACCAAAGACGCGCTCGGTGTGCGTGCCTCCATGGCGATCGTGGAGCGACAGAGCCAGTGTCAGTGCACGGTGCGCGAGCTGAGGGACGCGGGGGCGTCTCCACCCCGCCGAGATCGGTCGGTATGCAGCTGTGAGCGCCGCTGAACGACCCTCGGTGAGGTGCGACACCCCATGGGACGTGGGACGCTCCGCTGAGCACAGAGTGTCGGGTCAGCCTGAGATGGCTGACGTTTCCTTTGTCGTGGCTGATGTGTGGCCCTCTGACCACGGCCAGACCAAAAAGCCACGTCTGTTGCGGACGGTTAGTGGAAAGCTATTGTCAGAACCATGCTTACAGTTCCTGGAATTCGGTTGGAGTTGAGGTGAGAGATAAAAGATAACGAAAAATTTGGGGGCATGTAACGCTTTCTTGGGGTAGCAATTGCTTCTTACAAACGTGCATATTGTTTGTAACATTCACATCAAAACGTTATTTTGAGAAAAATGTCATTTATTTAATGGTTTCCTTAGGGTAGGTACCTACCTAATTAATGAACAGATTGGCATGATCAAGCGTTTTCAAGATTTTGAATACATGGCGTTGAAGAGGAAGCGTTACAGGGCCAGTTTCAATTGATAACATTACTGATCAATAATCTTTTGAACTTGAAACGTTTGTGAAGCTTTCTGGAAAAACTTATAGGACTTTTTCATTAGAAACTTGTGCATAGCATGATTGTGTATGCTTCGGGCCAGCGCCATCCGAATCCTGGGATCACTAGCCACTGGCTGTCCCAAATGTGTCAGATATCATCGCGGCGACAGATGTTCATCTCACAGCACGTACGAACGTGGTACACGCGAATCCGAGCGCCTTTGTGTAAAGTTCATCAGCGGTTTTGGTGTGTATGCGTTTTTGTATGAGAGAGTAATTATGATTGCGTTCAATATTGTCTGCTTGTACTTCATCTTGGCATGAGAGAATTTGAACATTCGTAAGAAGTTCAACCTAGAGGTTCTGTTCGATTGTATGCTTCCGAAATACACTTTTGGTTAAATGATAATTTTTGTTGTATAGAGAAGAGAACTCTACTCGGAATAGCTTGAGCGGTGATTTCGGCTAGACTCTATGCAGGGGCGGCGCCACGGATTTTCGATAGGGGGGGACGGGGACGGGGGCTTGCCATGACCGAAAATCCCAAGAGTAGATACTGATCGTGCATGAAAAAAAACGAGGCACGTAACGCCGCGAAACTTGGCAAAGCCCGCAAAGCCCAAAACACATCGAATGGTGCATCCCGTTTCCAAACTTATCCTAGGACACCTAAGATCGATCACCTTTTCAAGCATCCTTGCCTCTAAATCAAAATTTGTAGTCTTGCCAACTCAAAGCTGGTTTCCTACAAGCTGCGAATTGCTTAGGTATGAGTAGCAGTGCCAACTATTCTTACGTTTCGTACTTTCAAATTTTCGATCTTACGTCTGGTCAGCTTCATGGCTTCACCATCATACGTCTATAGTCATGGAGGAAAAGTGGGAATGTCTTCTGCTCTGTCAAGTGCGCCAAAACTGCAATATAATTTCAGAATCATGACATCACCACCTGTTCCATATGCAACGGGCAGGGTGCAGCTACTGGCTAGCCGTCAGTGGTCATGTCATCGGTGCGTGGTCACTCAAAAGGTCATGCTAGGTCATGGAAGGTCACCAGCCGTTATTTGATCACACTTTCTGATGGATGTTACTTACCGAGAGCTTCGCGGGAAAAACGAGCGCATGCACCGTTGAAAAAAAAATTGAGTGAAAGGGTCTCAGGTCCGACGACCTCTGCAGGTGAAATGCCCCAGGGTAGGATTCCGGTCCTTGTTGATTAACTTCGTCAAAAATGGCAGTAGAGCTGTGATGTCGGCACCATTGTGTTCGTCATGATCGAGCTGGCACGACCTGCAGTCGTTCTCATATTCACCCTCCCTCCAATCGTAACAACTACAGCAGGGATTGGCAAATGGCGGGGCACCCCCTTTGGGAGGTAATGAAGGTCTCTGGAAACCTCATCCCTCATCTCTTTTGCATTAGTGGCTCTCCTTATGGAACAGGTTTCTTGACTGGTCTGTTTCACCCCAGAATTCAAAGACTAGTCAAGGTAAAACCGAGCGCACCACAGTGAACACAATTTGATAAGCTGGTGTATCTCAATTTTCATGTAGAACCTTTCACGTATCACGTACCTTAAACCCTTCGTGCACTCATGCAAAAGCAACTGCCATGTTTCAACAGCTGGTAATGGCATTTTCACAGCCGCTGACGTAAGAAGGGGAGGTGGGGCTCGATTAGACCCCCAGCCGTTCGGCCGCCGACCGAACTTAGTTTTGCATCTCTTCGGTAAGCAGAAGAAAAAAAAACGAGTGCTATCGAGCCCCTTGACGAGAGGGAGCCGATGCTACCCAATTATAAGGTCTTGGGCTACTGCGTGCTTTTTTGGTCCTGCCTGTGATCTATCCGAACACTTCTCCCCACAAGCGCTGGGGTTAAATGGCAATAGATTTCAAATGGTTCCTGTGGTAGAACTGCCATGCTTGAATTTGACTAATTAGGAATGGAAAATATCCATATAGTAACGGAAATCTATGGAATTTCAGTAACCTTGGTTTTGTCGGCAATGGGGTCTGGCAGTGAGGTGGGGAGGTAATAACCCTGCCTGGCGCCCCCATAAAGGGGGGGGGCACGATCCCCGAGGCCCTGCCGATCACCTTATAACTACAGGCATCACAGCTCCACACCTTTTGCAGATGGCCAGGACCCCCTGCGATACATCCCAACAGCAATCTTTATTCAGAACCTGCCTTGATTAACCAACGATGCATTAAATGCGACGGATAACTCTAAAATGCATTATTATCCACTATTGAACGGGCCTCGCCGATAGGGGGGTACTGTACCCCCCAAACTTTCGATAGCGGGGGACCTGTCCCCCCCGTCCCCCCCGGTGGCGCCGCCCATGACTCTATGGATGAAGTATGAATAGGTTCCCTGCTTCGATTTTTAAATGGCCATTGATGTTGCTAGATTTGAAAATGGCTATCACTTGCGGGAACCAGGGACAGATCGCTGACCGAGAACGACATTGTATCTCTGGTCCTAAAGATATCTAGTGCTCACTGATCAGTACGTTCGGATTGGTGGAACGCTTCAATCATGACGTAAAATGGTCTCAAAGTGCGGAGCAAGCCACTAAACTCGCCCTAAACCTGCGTAATGTATCGGCAGTGTGCTTGCTGGTAACTTGACAGCTACTCTATACTGCAATCTGCTGAACAATGGCTGCCTGATTCTCCTACATTATGGCTGCCTGATTCTCCTACATTGTTCGACCTGAACTTCATTCAAATATGGCCCATGTCACTAATTTAGTATCCTCAGCGAGTTTTGTAAGTAAAATGACCCTCGAAACGTGCGTCGCACATATCCTGTTCAATATGCGTCTTCGGTGACCTGACCTAACCTTGACCTTGACCTTAGCACGGTATATGTGATGCAGCTTGTCTTGGTAGGGCTACCAAGAACCAAGAAGTAGGGCTCCTAAGAACGCGTTATCTGGGTGATCAATCTTTCACTTTGTCCATTTTTCGCCAACTGGACTCCAAAGCCAGTTGGATTTTTTATACCTGGGGCATTCCACGATAGATCGTACCAGGCCCGTCACCCTCATCTCTCAGATTTTAATGAAAATCGGTCCTAGGGGTAATCATAGGCCCCAAAGACGCCTGGCAAAATATCAGACTTCTCAGATCAAAACTTTTTGAGTTATATTGCATTACATTTTTTGAACTTCGGTATGTAACGGTGAGTTTGATGGCCTATAACTCAAGAACGGGTTAAGCAACCAACAAAAAGTAAACAACACTAAGCTTGCGATGAATCAAAAATTAATATTAGGGTAAGGTGCCTAATTAGCGACCCTTTCCGATTTGCGACCTACCTCCCTACAGAAAAACTGGCAGGAGAAAACGGGGTAAAAACATCGTCAAAAGGTCAGCTATACTTGAGTTATCAAAATAAATTATTTTCCGGTCGTCGATGTTTCTGGTGGGACGTTTCAAGTGAGTTTAAATAAAAATGTTAAGTTTCTTATCCAAAACGTGTGTGTTTGGACCCTCTCTGATGAAAAGCGATGCACATTAGGATGATACACCTTTTTTATCTTGAATCGACATTCCTTTTTCAATTGATTGCCGTTTTCCCATAGTGAATCGCTCAACTGTGCACAGCATGGCGGTTAAAATGTGTCGCAACTCATATTTCCTATTTGCGCCTGACATGGTCGCAAATAGCTCAAGAAGGGAAAGAAAGGGGAAAAGAGGGAAATGAAAATGAGGTGTTGCTGAAGCTTGTGTAGAATATCCAAAGAGGATTGTGATTGCTAACGGGAGGTGCGCATTTATTTTAAGCTCTACCGAAAAAGAGTATGTTTGTCAAAAGTGTACGTGCAGAGAATGTGTGTCACAAGAAATTGAGAATGTTAAGTGGCTTGAGAGAGAGAATGGTCTTGGAGAGAAAATAGAAAGGATATTGTTGAATCGTAGACTTTGATTTCGATATTAATTTGAGTAATTTGAGTTGCTACACAGTGACGTAGTACATTGGGCAAAAATGACATTAACGTAATTTACCAAGCTGAAGTTGAATTGAAACATTAATTTAAAGCACTAATAAGTGGAAAGACTCAACATTATGGCGACCCTGGCAGGACTCAAAGAATACTTGGAACTGGCCGAGAAGTATGGTTTAAGTGGCGAATCAGCTTTGAAATACGCGAACGAGCAAGTAGACAGGGCAGAGAGGGCAAAGGCAAGACAAGAAGAAAGAGAAGAAAAGGCGAGAAAAGAAGAAAGAGAAGAAAAGACAAGACGAGAAGAAAGAGAAGAGCGAGAACTCTTAAGACGACATGAGCTGGAAATGGAGCGATTGAGATTGGAGAGAGCAGAATTAGAGAGCACCGGTGGTTCCAGGGAGCCACAGCAGCCGAGCGAGCCTGCCCAGTCAGTGCCGGCCGTCAAGCGACCCAAACTGCCTGCGTTTACGGATGGCAAGGATGATCTTGACAGCTACCTTAACCGATTTGAGCGACTGGCCAGAGTAAACGGATGGGACGAATCGGAATGGGCTGTCAGTCTCAGCGCTTTGCTGTCAGGCCGAGCGCTCGAAGTTTACACCCGAATGAAGGAGGATGACGCAAACGACTACATGAAACTGAAGACGGCTCTCCTGCACAGGTATGGCCTCACTGGGGAAGGCTACCGGCTAAAAATGCGTGATGCCAAGCCGGAGCCGGATGAGAGCCCCCAGCAGTTTATTTATCGTCTGGCTAGTTACCTAGAGAAATGGATCACGCTGACTAAAACCGATCAGTCATTCGAGGGTCTGAAAAACTTGATCATTCACGAACAGTTTATGAACACCTGTCCCAAGCAGCTGGCCATCTACTTGCGAGAAAAGGCCACATACTGCTTAGATGAGCTAGCTGAGTATGCGCAAAGGTTCTTGGAAGCCCATGATCGGTCTCCCAGCAGTCTGAGTAGGCGTGCGACGGTCACGGAAGACCATACCGCGCACGCACCATCCAGAACCACTGGCTCAGCGACAGCGCTGCGAACTTCTCGAGAACAAGGCCAGAACTGTCTGTTCTGCCAGTTCCCACACCCGACCGAAGAGTGCCGAAGGGCCCAGATGCTCTCAGTCGCGGAGCGTCGAGAGCAGGTGATGCGGCGTGGGGCCTGCTTCCTGTGCTTTCAGCCGGGACATCTCGCCGCGCACTGTCGGGAGGACAAGCCCAGATGTCCGCTTTGCGGTGGGAAGCACAACCAGCTGGTCTGCGCTCCGCGGTCCAGCTTGCCATCTACTGCCAGCTCCAGCGGGCGAGATGGAAACATACGGGAGGCATCGGCGACGGCAGCTAGCACCAGCCTGACTCGAAAGGAAGGAGCGGTTCTTATGCAGACGGCCCAGGTAAGAGCGACAGGAGCAACAGGAGCACGACTTGTCAGAATAATGCTGGACTCTGGAA